AATTATCCGCAATTTTACAGAACCCGGTGTTGCTCTGAAGCGAGTGCAGCCCACGTGACGCCCCTTACAGCGTCGCTTTCACTGCAACGTGAATCTACCAACCGGCACCCAAGACACCCTGTCAGGCAGGGCTTATTTACCTTGATCTGACCCAGTGAAGTCAGGTGGCTTAGTGGGTTCCGTTGCACTGCTTGGGATCTCGCAGTTTTTCTCACGCCCACACAGACTGACGGAAGGGCTTTACAAGAGATTTGAGCCGCTTCGCTGCGCAACGCTAAGGAAACCAAGCAGCTTTCATAATCAGCGAGGTGCATTGAGAGGAATCGCTAAGGTAATTCTGCTATTGTTAGTCGTCACATAAAGCGGACTTGATCGTAGGCGCCTAGACGGAATATCAACAGGATTGTCTCTAGTTCAATACTACAGGTGAACCTCAAGGCACATCCCGCGATATTCCGATGGGCGGAATCATAGTAACGACGACAGAGTATCGTGGCTGCGACTCTTATTCTAATGCGATAAGGAAAAGGAACGGGTCAATGAGGTGGTCTTCTGTCGCGGTCTATACGGGAAGAGAGGAGTGTGCCTTTGAGTCCTTAACTTCCTTATAATTCTCTACTCAACGAACAACTGCCACACCTCAAATTTCTATGTGATCTTGCTGGTCTTGACCTCATTAACAACAGGATCGCTCGTTTAGTGAAATATTCCGAATTCTCTAGTACAAAAAGTAATGTAGGAGTACTTACGGCATTGCTGGCAGGATCGACAGCAGCGTCTGTCGATAACGTGAGCATGTGCACATGTACACAAGGAATGCTACGTAACAGTTTATCAGCGATAAGAGATCAAGTACATCGGCCAGCGCTAGATATACGTACGCATGGAACTGGGACGTGTAGAGAGCTAAAATGGCGAATTTAACCAGACTCGAACACCATCGACTTTACTGTAGCTTACGACTAGACAAGAGCAACGTACCGTTCAACACAGCCATAACGCCCTGTGGCAATTCGGTAACAAGGAACACGGTAACCATGAATACCAACCTGAAATGAAGGTAAAGACATGGCTAGTGAGCAGTTTAAGGTTTGATTCCTGCAAATGATAGAGCGTGTGGCAGAAAGTGAATTGAATCGCGATGTCAAGGCAGTGGCCTTTTCACCAATCGACACCATCTTGTGTCCGCCATCTATTGGGTGCTTCTGGTTACATTCCATTCTCGCAACGCTATCCTGTCGCGAGGATTGTGACTATAGACATTGTAGTAAACTTACATATAGGTGGTGACATCACGTTTGCCTTTGTCGTCTCGGCTTTTCAACAGCTTTTTTCGCTTCTCTTTATTCTCTTTCATACGGGCAATAAGTGCAATCGTGAACCAAAAGAGACGAAGAGCGCACGGCGGTATCGCCTATAAATGCAAAAGTCTATTGAATAAAAGAGTGAAATGCTAAATATCTGAGAGGTTCAACGGCCACATCAAGATTGGGCACTATTTACCCTTTACTGCCCCAACCATCCAGAACTTGAGCCACTTTCTGACCGACTTTTTTCTCCGTGGACAGATGTGGCTCAAATGTTGCCTTCTGGGGTATTTTGACTTCCTGAGTACGAATATGACATTCACTTAGCAGCCGGGCAGCTGCACCAGGACGCCGGAGTGATTTGTGTGTGTTTTAGGCGCCAGACGCCTGTAACCTCGGGCGTCAGGAGCGTTTCAGGTCAGATGCGGAACATGATATTCGTGGTTCAAGGAAATCAAAAAAACTACCCCAGGATACAAATTTTCAGCCAATTCTGCCAAGGCAGAAAAAAGTCGGTCAGAAACTGGCCTGTTTTTGGAAGATTGGGGCAGTGAAGGGTAAATATGTGCAAATTATACTGAGAATCTATTACCTTCAGAAATATGCCAGTCAACCAAAGGTTTCCTTTCATGAGAAAACAACCATTTTCGAGAACCATTTGCGAAAAGCCAATGCTGAAATTATTCCAAAAATTGAAAATTGCAAATTTTTTAACAGTAGCAAGGGAATAGATTGGATTCGAAACATATATAAATATATTGGAAAGAAACTAAACACTCATATTGCCATGCTTAGGCAACATAAAGAAACATCGAATTAAATTGAACATGCTCAAGCTGGTTCCACCTCGGTGCAAAAATTTTTCACCAGGGTGCGAAATTCGTTCAGTTTCGATAGTAAAACATGTTTTTTTTCAAAAAATATCGTGCAAAAAAACAAAGAAATGAAATAATACCATGTACTGGTTGTTGTGTGACCTCTTGGAGAACTCACTCGTCTGGGGATGATTTCATGCGCAAGAAGAGTGGGAATACACAACACAAATACACAAAAAGCGATTCCGACAGCGGCGATTCTGGAAATTAGACATATTATGTATTTTGTTAATTCTTAGCGTTTTTGTGCACCTAATCTTTGTACATTCACTGCTGATTAAAAACTCATTCTGCCTTGCTTCTCAGTAGCACATCCTGTAGAGAATTTCTTGCGCTATCTGATGGTATAATTGCCGTTTCACCATTGCTTGATAACCCTTTTTTCAAGATTTTTCAAGCATGTGAAAAGAGCACTTCGGACGATTTTTTTCTTCGACTATAAATTGGGGCAATCCGCAATCGAAACAGCTCAACAAATTAACCAGGTGTGGAAAGCCCAAAATAGTGCTTGAGAAAGCACTGTGCTGCAATGGCTCAACAAAGTTCGTTCAGGAGATTTCAGCATCGAAGATGAACCTCATGGCAGTCGACCTTTAAAAAAACACTAAAGCAATATCTGACGAGGATTTTGAGGAGATTTTGAAGGCTGACCCATCCCAAACAGTTCGAGAGATTGCAGAAAAGCTAGGCGTTGGCAAATCCAGTGTTGTAGATTGTTGAAACGCATTGGGAAGGTGAAAAAACTCGACAATTGGGTGCCCCACAATCGGAGTGACCGGCAGGAATCGGCACGTCTCGAGGTTCCTTCTTCACTGCTTTTGCGCAAAAGAATTGACCCGTTTTTGAACGGATTTGTCACCTGTGATGAAAAATGGATCATGTATGATAACAGGAGACGTTCCGGACAGTGGTTGGATTTGGAGGAACCACCGAGGTAATTTTCAAAGCCGAACCCTCGCGAAAAAAAAATTCTGGTCAGGTTTGGTGGTCATCGGCTGTTGTAATCCACTATAACTTTTCATCACCAGGCCAAACCATCACAGCAGAACCCTACTGTGAACAAACCGACCAAATGTACCGAAAATATTGCAGCTGGCACGCCAACCACTTATCAAAAAAAGGGTCGATGTCTTTGTGCATGAACAAGCCTGCCCGCCCCGCCAACAGTTCACAAATCACTATCCATAAATTGAACGAATTGGGAGTTGAAGTTCTACCTCACCCACCATATTCTCTAGACCTTTCACCAACCGACTGTCACCTTTTCAGACATTTTCAGAACTTTCCTGCTGAGAAATACTTCATCAAACAGGACCAGGCAAAAAAGACCTTCGCAGATTTCGTGGATTCTCGACCACCCAGTTTTTTTTGATGGGATTTCTCGACTGCTGCCACATTGGCAAAAGTGTGCTGATTCGAATGGTGCTTATTGCGAACGATCATAACTTTCTTAACACTCATACGGATTAAAATCCGTAAAGGAGGAAAACAAGGAGGGTTGTAAGAAAGTTATGATCGTTTAAGTTTAAACCCCAAAACGCTAAGAAGCTTTCCGGATAATCATATAAGTAGTCATCAGCTTTGCAATTGCAAAGGACGCGTTTTTCACTATTTTTCCATTAACACTGCATGTGTCTGCTCGTTGACCTAAAATATTATATCAATCGTTGCTTTTCTGTAACTGCCGGGCTGGATAATAATGCTTCGCTAATTGGGCACTAGTGCACATGACTTTCCGTTCAGGGCACATCTTTGTTGGGGAATCCTTTTTTCGTGAATCCCCCCCCCCCCCCTGACGGCTCGATTCGATGAGGAGGACAGAGGGCCGGAGGGGGGGGTCGTACCAACCCCAAAAAAGGGGGAGGTCGTACAGACTCGACTAAAATCTCCAACCAATGATGTGCCCTGCTTTCGTTTTTGGCGTTCACGCCATTTGGCGCCACTACTTTCTCACCAAAGTTGATGAAAACTCGTATACGGGGGTTATTCGACATCCCGATGACGAATATTACCTTCGTTCTTGGCGACAGCGCCAATGTAAGGAAATCAGATCGTGTGCGTTCCGCTAAGGCTGAGCCTCTCGGCAGTGGAATCACTCCTCGCAGACCTGGAGCCTAAGCAGAATGCCTTAATGGCGCTTGTGTCGGAGTATGGATTCTATGATCATGACCAGGGCACCAAACAATACTATTGCGCAAGTTTCATCGATATTCAAGAACGAGGTGGTGCCTCCAAACGGCGCTAGCTCCAAAAAAGAATGTCTTATTCGTGATCAGGGTGCTGATTACTCTTATAGGCGGGATTTAGCAAACTATTTTTGAGTTTCTGAGATTGTATTGGTCGAATAGTGCCACTAAGCCTTTCCAATCCTCCCTCTATAAGAGTCACGATCCCGATTTTGCCATTTTTCTCAAAAAAGCCTGAAACGATAGCACTCAGTTGGGAAGGAGGCGCAGAACATTCTGAAAATCACTGATGGGGACGAGTTGGTGAGGATGACCGTTCATAATGACTAGAGCGTCAGCAGAATCTGTGTCGACGCGAACGGGGCAGCTGCTCCCAGCTAGTTGATTCGACATACTGTAGCATATGAAGTTAAATTGTCTGGGTCCTAGTGCGAATGCCGCTCGCGTGACGCCAACTGCAGCTCCATTTTCGCCGCGACAACTCAGCAAGGATCTCTCAGGCCTGGCACTCGGACTAATACTCTTACACTTATTTGATATTCAAGAATATTCTTACATTGATCGCTCGGATCGAAGCCAGACGGAACATGCTACTCGCATCGCACAGTATCGAATGTATGCCATCAAAACGACCAGATAGAGTGTGATGGCGTGTGAAGAGCAATCGCGACAAATACGACATGAGACCTAAAAACGCTCATGATAAATTAAGTGTAGAGAGAAATTTTTCTGCGGTAGCCAGAACAATTTTCGTTCTGATATCTTATGCAGCTGCCTGCACGCCTTAGTATGCTATTTTTTGCATCATAGAACTCATAAAGGGGGCTTTCATATAAGTAATACTGGACTTGAAGAAAAACAAAAAAGAAAAAAAAAGCAATGAATGAATAAAAAATAAGTCGGATTGGCATGGGGCGTGGTAGAAGCATGGCGCACTTTAAGGCAGTCACGCGTCCTCCCGTCCTCAACATAGTCTACCTGCAACTCTCTTCAAGCTGTCTCACTCCTGCTTCTCGTGAAAGAGAGAAGACGCGCCCTCTTGAGCAGCAGAATTCTAGAACGCCTATCTTGTGTCCCGAACCATCAAACCAGAGGCTTGTCCTATGGTTTCAGTAGAATTCAATTTATACACCAAGCGGATCCGCTTCATCTGAATGAAGTGGAATTGTTGCCGCATTAGAATGGAGAGCTAGCCAGCGTCGACGCACTACCGAAAAAGATCATGCAGATGCTGCAGGGCTTCGCCATATAAACCGCGCAGGGGCAAATTTGCATCTCCTCGTGCATGGTTGTCAGTCTTCTTTGCGCATACGGTATTGTAAAGGGATGGGTTTGGGGGCGGCGCAGCTCAATTTTTTTCTTTTTTAGCGAGCTACAAGACGATATCATATCATTCGTATCACACGTTTTCCAGCTCACCTATAGTGTTAGCGCGCTGCGGACAGTGGGCGTAGTCACCCAGGCAGGATGGAGTTGGAACGGATGCCAAACCCGCTCTCCATCAGCGTTGAAGCGAGCAATGTGACAGGACTGGTAATCACCGTGTCGTAGCCCTGTTCCCCAAGAACTGTATGTGCGCTGTAACTGCTTCAAAAAAACTGCCAGAGAACGGGTTTTTCACTCGTGGCACACCCTAACTGCCTCCGTTCACAGCCCCACTGGACATATACCAATATAGCTGGGTTGGAACGTTCGCTGACGGCGCGTAACGAGCCTCTTTGGCACGCCCCATCACGCAGCGAACCAAAAGACAGTTAATTGCGTCGTGCAGTCGTGTCAGCCCACTGTATCCACTCGGAAACCAGTGGCCCGCTAGCCCAGAACACCTGGCCATTTTGAAAAGTTTTGCAAACTTACGTGCCCCTTCTGTAAATCTGTACTATGAATTCAAGCTAGCGACAGAGTTAGTTTCTTTCTGATGTAAGGGGTTGGGTCATCCATTCCAAGGAAGGCTCCTGTGGACCTCTTCTGGCAGAATTCCTCATACTCGAATGGCAATCGGTTGATATTCAAAAGTGTTGATAGAAACTAAGCTCGAACATTCGGTAGCTCTGTAGGCACCACTTCACCCTCGCAGTCCAACTGTGGTTCCCCTGGTTTCAGCACCTACACTTTTCAGTGAGAAGGAAACTCAACGGCAGATAATGCATTCTTCTTTTTCGTTACCCGGGCGTCTCTTAGAAACGTTTCTAACCTTTTCGTTCGTGTGAACTGATGCAATAAATGAAGGGTTAATGTGCATGCATAGAATGGGCAAATATGTGAAGTTATACCCCATTGCAAAGAAGAGTTTACGTCACCACAAACATTGATTCGAAAGCCTCCAGCTATGCGAGTGAAGCTCAACTGGGGTTTTACAAGGCAGGTGTGCAATGACAGTTTGTGCTGCTCGGCCTAGAATGCTAGTAGCGCGCTAATAGTGCGGAAATGAGCGAAAAAGCGGAGAGAACGATCAAAATCTTACGCGACGAAAAACCTTGGCTCTGAATGTGCATAGAATTCAATTTGGAGACGTTTCCTATAAGTATCTTTCCAAATAACCGTACAAAGGTAGTGGCATGATATGGGTACTCATACATCCAATGGCAGCACACAGCGCTTCATACCAATCCCTCGCTTCATAATTTAGCATTAGCCAAAATGAATCAGGTTACGAGCGTCAGGCAATGGTCGTCCCTTTTGTGGGCGAGCGGGCGTGTGGGCGCTTTGGTTGCTGGTTGTGTAGTAGGCTTGATAAGTGGCACCACCATTGGAAAAGGGGGTGCGCCTTATCAAGGCCTTGGAAAAGGCATAATGGTGGCCGCTCAGGGTCGCGGAATTCCGTCCTGCCAGGCGTATTAATCTACTTCAGGGGATTCAACGGGCCAACGCATTTTGAACGGCAATGGGAATCACAATTTAGGCGAGTAAGCTAGAAGACCAGGGTATGCGAAGTTGGCTATGTTTTGGCCTATTTTGGCGCTTTCAGCAGAGCTGTGAACTGAAACGAATGGAACAGTGCGAACGTCACATGGTAATAGCGAGAAAATATTAAATAAGATTCATATTGCTCCATTCAGGAACTCCACACTTTTTCATTCCGTCACTATCTACGTTATGTGACGTCAATTCGTCGGTTCAACATTCCGGCAATTCTACTAAGTAATTGCGGCTTCGCTCGTAATCTGTCGGAAATGAATGTGAGGGGGGGGTGGCACGTTACACCCAGTGCGCATACCAGGAGCCTGCAGTGGTGGTCCATGCTAACGATTAGGCGTTTATCGCGGCGCGGTTGGGATCGCACCAGGCTGGCTTGTTCTGAAAAGTGGTTTCGCTCGATGAGTCGCTACGATTCGTGAATCTGCTCTGGCTGTGTCCGATAGGGCCACTGACCGACCTGCGCCTATAGTTTTCAGGATCACGACTGTTCCTGTTGGACACTCTAGTTCACCATTCCTGAGAGAGTAACGGGTATACCCCGCATGCTGTTCGTTGACCTACTTATTGACCCGTATCGGACGCCGATGTAGACTCCCGTCTGCATCACGACATGCTTCATACGCTATAATCAAGACGCCCGACTTCTCCCTAGTTGAATGACATGAAGTCTGAGCACCAGTTTTTCACCGTCAAATGGCAATCTTTTATCGCTTACACTCTTTCCAGTTCACTCTCTCAGTTCTGAGCCAACTTTACTCTCCATTCAGAAGTCTTTTTTCAAGGCTCTTTCTTATTTTGAAAATTTACTCTCTTTACTCGCATCTTGCGTACCTCCCTCCGACAGTCTTCTGTATTGCATACTCTCCCTTTGTTTTTCTTTTGTTGATTTTCTGACGGTTTAACCCTCTATTCTGATGTCTACTACTGCCTCCGTGCAGGATGGCAAAAAGCTACCATACAGACGGGTCTGACTACTGCTCCGTGGCAGGATGGCAAAAAGCTGACCATAGCAGGACGGGCTGTGCCAAGAGCAGGGCTAGAAAGCGAAAAAAAATGCGAAAACTTATCAGATTAGTTGTATGGGTTGTCTCAGGAAAACTTTTTATGAGGTGAAAATGAAAATGCACTTTCTGCGAATGCTCTTCGGAAAGGACTCACCCACTCTGACAAAAAGCCCATTAGGGAATGTCTACCGCAGCAATTTCATAGAACACGGCTTGTTGAAGATTCAAAGCTATTAACGCACAACATCATTGATGAGACGAGCGGTGGTGTTCGCCTTAGCAGTGGCACTTTGCACTTTGGTTCCTTTTGCTAACTCATGTTGGCCGACAGGTTCCATTTTGGTGGAAACTGTGAAGTTCTGTGAATGTGGTATGGTACAGCTGAGGGGTACAAAGATTTACAGGTATTAACAAGATGACTTGTGGAGGCCTCACTGAATGCCTCTTGGTGCCCCACCAAGCCGAGCTACGACGGGACTAGCATAGGGAAAGGGTAAATAACTGGTTACCCACCATGGGACGAACGCGTAGATAAGTACATATCTTTTCAGGATGATAAAGTGCAGGGTACAGCATCGTCATGTGTGAAATGGTAACGTCAGTACGACCCCCTATCTAAAAGAGGGAAAGAGGGTCTCGGTACGACCCCTCCCCCTTCCCCAGCACCTACCTACCGTTCCCAGCTTCCTACCAGTTATTCACCCGAAGATTTTCCGTCGAGCGCGGGGGCGGGGGTAGAAACGGAAAAAATCAAAGTCAACAACCGGGAAAAAAATTTTCATTCCTCTCAAAGCCATATACGTCCCCCCCTAACCCAACAACAACCAAATACGACACCCCTTCCTCCTCAGCGGAAAAGCACGACCCCCTATGTGTTTCCACACAACGATGCTGTACCCTGATAAAGTGAGCATAGCCAAGACTGGACCTCTTAAGTCGACAACTTTAAAGGCTCCGAAGGAGGTGACGTCGTTGAAACGTCGTCACCTGTTATGGGTGAAGTCTCAGTGTCGCTAGTCCCTCAGGACAGGGACTAGCGTGTTTTCCAGACGCGCAGGATGACGCTAAATTCCAGCACCGGCATCTTTACACACTTACAAACCCATAAAAGGTAAGACGATGAAGTGTTCCCCGTTGATCAATTCCTTTCTAGGGAACGGCACGCATTGTACTTCCACTCAGAACTGTACGGCTCATGAACGCATGTGATAATATTTCCAATGAGTTGTGGGCGTCAGTCCGATTTGACGAGTCATTCTCATATCCCCAGAGGGTTAGCATCAAACATCACAGTCCCTTGGAGAGCCAAGGCTGCTTGGCCTGCGAGGGGAGCCGATCCAAGATTGCTCCCCAAACCGTGCGCATGGTAAGTAAGCATGCAACTGACAGAAATTTCCATGGCTCAGTATTACAAACGCCCGTGGGAGAGCTCATTGCGTTGGCAGCTCACCCTGGTAAGAAGTTACTGAATGCTGCTAAAAATTCGCAAAACCAAGAGACGCCACAACATGGAATTGCTAACCGGTATGCGGAATAGCCCACTCCGATCATAGCAAATCTGAGAAACACATAGGACTTTCCACTTTCTACGCTAGCTCAAAAACGTTTTGACTAAACTCCCCATTTCCTGGTTCACAGAGCGGTTTTTAAGTTCTGGACATTATAGTAGTACTGTGGGTTGCAGTCACCGATAAACCTACTTATAATTACCTACTATATAATATAATTTTACTCAGTCATTTCTCGATGATAAATTCGACTACAACTTAATCACTCACCTTCAGAAATAACGCCCAACCGTATGGATATCCATTACGCTCTTGCATGAATTCAAATCGCGTCATGTAAATCTGCAAAAAAACTATTGACGTAAGCCCTCAAGCTACCGTAACACGTAATTTCTCACCAAGTATGACGTCATTGTGCCCATATCAGAAACTGCAATGCACACCAATACCGTATGCACAGAGCTGAATCGCATTCGTGGTCGTGTCAGGACCCAGATGTGAATCGAATTTGCCAACAGCCCGAATAGGCACAGTAGCACGGCAATGTAGCGATGAAACGACGAATATGTCCTGAATTAGGAACATTTTGGGATAAGTGACCTTCAAAGTGGTACCTAATAGGTCGCTAATGAGCCGGTACTGAGTCACTTTTCGAATAACTCGAGGGAACTCATAACTATCAAGAAGGCTTTTGCTTTGTTTTGGAACGTTGACCGCCTTGGATTGTTAGAACCGCATCTCGCGAGTCAGTCGCATTCAAAGCTGGCAATTGCGGCGGTCCAACGATTAGCAGTGGAGCGCGGACGGTCCTAGTCGCGCGACTGAGTCGCCCAAATCGCGTACTGCGAACGCTGCCTAACACGTGAATTTGGTCTTATTCAATCTATGTCAATTGAAACGGGTGAATAATACTCACTGCTGAAATAAAAATAATGTTTCTAGAATGCTGTGCGTGAAATTGTTGTCCACATCGAATATCTGCGCATCTTTGCAATCCATCTGAAAACGCGATTTCTGAGAAAGATTGTCAGAAAATAGAGGACGGCGGACGCTGCGATCATCAAAAACGGCGGATACAATACGCTGACAATCGTTGATCAATTTAACCATACAGTCATGAATCATGCAAACGATAGGGCATGGGACGCAGCGCGGACTGCAGCGCAGCCAGCCCCTCTTCCCACTAATGATGCCATCCTGAGCCCGATACAACTGATGGGAGGGAGACCTGACTTGGCTGCGCTACAAGCCATGCCCTCGTCGCGCGCCCTATCTTTGCAGGGTCCATGACTGTAATTAATAGATTGACTCTGGAAGAGATAGAGAAGACAAAAAATGAAATGATCACTTAGTGTTGTTTATGGGACCATATGACGGTCATGGAATTCGAGCACATCGTCGCTGAGTGGAAAACATCTGTCCCAAAAAGATTGAAAAACTTTTTTGATTTTTGGTCCTTCTCGTTTCAGAGGCACTACTTGCACTTCCTAGAGTGGAGCGCTTAGGAAGTACTACTACTTATAATTGGTCGAGGCTGTCCCCCCTCTCTAACGATATGCCATCGAAATTCTTAGATAAACTGGTGGGAGGTAAGGTTGTGAATGCAGAATCCATGCCCGTCCGCGCCCTGTCGTTTGCAGGGATCATTGATTCAATTGCATAGATGACATCACAAATAGGCTAACGATTCTATTAGTGCTATGGAGGTAAATTAGGAACTGATGGGCTTCTGGGGGGGGGGGCTTAACGGCGGCGCTCCTTGCGTCTTCCTCTACCCAGGTTTGGGCTGAACTTTCAGGACGGCAGGGTGCCTCAGGAACAGTATCGCGAGTGGGCCATCCTAAAAAGAAGGCCTTGAGCTTGGTAGGAGAAGGAACACAATGGGTTTATCAATTCACGTCCTCACAGAAACGTTTATTGCGGCAACGCTGACCACATTGTACTGCCGGGATTCATAGAACGAGAATATATATCGGGATCAAGCGGCGTAAAATCAATTATATTTAAAATGTGTTATCCGCTGGAGTAAATAAGAAGTGAAAATTGTAAATTATACTTTCAAAGCACAAAATCAGCAAAACGGACGCCCATAACGCAACAAAATCGTTGAAGAAAAAAGAGATAAGTGAGGAAACGACTGTACAACAGAAAAGATGGAACGTTCAGTTATAGAGTTGGGGGGGGGGGGTCACAGTGGCAGTCATGAGTCGCGCCCCCCCCGACCTCACTTTGTCCCGAGGCAACGCTTTCCATGGAACCTGCTCGTCTGTGCTGTAGCCTGAATGAGTGGGATCACTTCGACTAGAGTCAGGGTACATCAACGCCACGGGGGGTCGGTTCGAAAAAAGGGCGCAGTTCCGGGAAAAGAGGGGGAGGCATTTTGTACTTTTGCTAGTTCCCGTCAACTTGATCGAGCCACTCAGAAAGAGACTGTGAAATGCTTAGTGAAGCAAGCGAATAACATTATGCTAAACTTTGTATAGAAACAGCCCTGCTCTTAGTAAAGCATGGGATTAACATGCTATGATAATGGTCAACGACACTTGAACAGGCTTCACAAGGTCATAAGGCCTCATCAGGGAGTTGTGAACCGGAACTAGTCAGCAGCGAAAGTGCAGTACGCCCCCCCCCCTCGTAGCCGAACTGCGCCGAAAAAGGTTTTTAATTGTCTCGTGAGAAGGACTATTTACCGTTGTTGTTCCGTGGCGTTGCAGAACTACTAGATTGGAGGTGTCTGCCTCACCCCGACAGCAAAACTTCAGGAAAAATTAGTAGGTGAATAGCTAAAAATGAGGTAATAGCTACGTAAAAAATTCAGGGGGGGAGATCATTTATAACAAAAACTTATGACATGATGATGTGCCTGAACACCACCGTAACACCACCACTGTTCTTCCTAACGACTCTCATTAGTGCAAATTTAATGATTTCGTAGAAGTGGTTATCACTCTAATCATAAAGTGACAATTGTTCAGAAAGTACATGATGAATTCACGGAAATACGTCAACCCTGTCACTGTACATTGTACGTATTAATTGCACGGGTTCTCCTACTCTTTCCCCCTGGGATAAAGCGATTAAATTAGTGCAAAAGATACTGTATATGACGAGAAGTTGCACTATGTTCGACTTGGAACTTTGTCGAAGCTAATCAGACTAATAAGCAGTTGTAAGATATAACTAACAGGTTCACGAGTATTAAAGGGCATGTGCCCTCATTAAGTAATTTGCTTTCACTTTTTCTATGGCTAATGGAGAGAGACGCACTTATGGAGCCATGGGTAGCGCGTGAACAATGGGAACGATCTAAAAATAAAGAAGTGAGACGGTCTGGATTCAAGCTTCATAAATCGGGTAAATAGTCAACAGCAAGTGCAAAGATGACCATAACAGCCAAAGACAGGACACTTAAATGCATGCCGCGGTACGACTAGGACTTGCACGAAACTCCTTACCGCTCTTAAACTAAACCTTAAGAGTGCATTCACACTTCGCGATCAGGTCGTAGTGAGCCTGCGAGCGAGCCGATGGCTGAGATTCACGACCGGAGGTGCTCTACCTTTAGTCATCGACCCGCCAGAACGGCTATTGCAAGTCCATTCGGGGAAAAAACCCCTTAGTGGAGACCAATTAAGTAGCTTCAAAGGAAAAATAAATAGAAAGACAAGAGATACTTGATCACAGATGCCATTGCGGCGACCATCCATAAGCAGCGGAACGCGTACTGCCCTGTGGCCTGATAAAGCGATCAGGTCGCGAAGTATGAACGCATTCTTAAAGTGTAGAAGGCAATCCCACTCAGCCCATCCCTTTTCGCCGCGTGCTACCTCAACTCTCTTTCTCCTATGAATTCACAACAAGTTTCTTATTGTTAGCTATGAGTGAACTCAAGCTCATGGATACTCCAGCCATTTCAAAGCCTTTATAGCCCTAGATTTGACCCGAGGCATAGAATCCCAGTAGCAGTGGTCCCTCTCGGACGGGAATCTCTTCAGCAGCACAAATGATTGAAGCACGCCCTCTACATATGAAAACACGTGTGTATGTATGAACGGCTTTTCAGCGAATATCATGCATAAGCAAGCTAAACACGCGAAAGGTTCTGCGCCCTTGTAGGCACAACAATGCGCCTGATTTCGAGCAGTTCTATGACTGGCTAGACGATTGTACAGCTTCCACACTAATCAGTTAGCGGTAATGAAGCTTGAAGGTAATGTTATTTGCGGCGTTCTTCATATCTCCATCCGCCGCTCAGTAGGCGACCAACAGGCCACAAACACGCAACACGCCACACAGTCAGACGCAGCTATAGCCACGAGTTCTTCTTAAACCGTAGCCAGGAGCTATACTTGTTTACTTTTGACTATGATGCTCTAATCCACAGCTGAACGCCATCACATTCGCTATGGGACCTTGCCCTCCTACGTCGCACATAGAAGAGGATTCACCTCGCAGGATGGGTAATAAATGCATGATGTGCGGCAAAAAGATTCCAACACCGCTAGCGTTTACAACCTTCACTAAAAATTGTTTTGACTTCCGACGAAATCAACTAGGCACATCACCAAGACCCCAGAGATGGGCAGGGCTCTACGGACATCATTGGAACATGCCGGTGCGACTGCACTTTTGAAATACAACCGTTCTGAGGGAACAGTAATTATTATTCATCCAGCACAACATAGGATCACAGTTGTTCCAAACGAGAGGTCTTAGGGTAAGTGAACCCTTGCCCATGTCAATGGAGGTATGCCGCCACGCCCTTCTCACTTTTGGGTTGTGGAGAGTACTCGAAATGAGAAGAGTTGGTAGAACGGCTAGTCCGTGAAGTACTAGTGTGTAGACTGTGCCATCTGGGCGCAAGTTTCATAAACTGATGTTTGACCACTATTGTGGTCATTCATACATATGATGAGAATGAGGAAGCAATTACGATCAAATGATGGGCAAGCTCGCCGGCATCAACAACTTGTGGACAACCTCATGGCTATAGTTACACAAGATAATAAGCACTGGCAGTGATTAAACCCACTCCCTCTAGAATAAGCCATGCATTTGACTTTCATTCGAAACTATTGCGGTTTTTGAACGATAGACGACTTGGCTTGTATAGGAAGTATCGGGCTATAAGATGTAACTTCATGAAAGGCACTGATTTTCTGATAATGGAATCGGCTTTTTCCAGAGCAGAATAAAGCGCGGGTTTGTCTCATCGGCGCTCTTCTCTCCTACGCTGTGACAAATGCGAGCCCATTATGAATCTGAGCTTCTGTAAATGGAGTGTAGAGACCGGAATTTCGCCGTGTGAACTAAAAGGACGAAAAAGTAGAATCCTAGCCGTGAATCAATCCCTCTGGCAAAAGACACGCATTCCTTTCTAGACATTATTTTTTCATTTTTTCTGATCATTTCTTCTTCTATCCATTATTGAATTCGATGTGGCCTATACAATGACGTGCGCCAGCCATTGTACAATCCAGTGCTCTTATCCTCCCAAACGGATCTGGCAGTAATTCAACGCCGCCACAGGGTTGAAGGCTGCTGTCGGTCCTGGATCTGATCCTCGTACCGTGCGTGGTTACCTGCCATTACAGCACATCCGGCGATAGATTCAGTAGTTCGCCAATAATTTCAGAAAAAAAGGGCATAATAGCCATCCCCCATCTCCTACCCTATCTGGTTGCTGTGAAGCCTGAGAGTATCGCCGGCATCCTTATCATGCTTGATCAAGTTCTAAAATTTGGGTTGGATACCTATTGAATTTGCATGAGAAAATCATCCAAAAGGCATTTAAGAACGAAGAATGACTAGACTGGAAACGATGTAGTAAAAGGCTCACTTGAATCCCTGAACAAGAAGCCCGCCTAGTTCGCTGCGGTTTGGCGCGGCGCCAAACCCCTTCTCCTACGGTTCTTTGAACAGGCAAGCGACAAAAATGAGGATAGTGACTAACACGACCGAAATAATACGGATTTGTTGCTCGCCGAAAAAAAAGAAAA